ACGTTTAATCATACCCATTTGTGTACAGCACTCCCTTCAAAGCCTTCTCTTCTTCCTTGTGCCCCCACCCTGACACCCATGGCCAAGGCTTTTTGTGCACTACACGCAGTGTGTTCTTCCCTCTGCCTCTCCATCAGGATCATGTCTTCTTGCCTGTCATTCTTTATGCCTGTTTAAACTCTTACATGTAATGAATTTTGCAATCCTTTGAAAACTTACAAAGTTTTCCAAAGGGGTATCTCTGAGTAAACTTTTCAGCAAATTGTTACTCTTAGATGCAAGGTGGTGCCTCGGTTCCTGAACTTAATTTGTCCCATGCTTCTAGAAATGATGGCCATGGTCATTTTTATCTCCTGATGCGGACAGAATTCACAAAAACAAAATGTTGTTCAGCACAAAAGTGTTTGTGGGGCTGTGAAGATAGCTTGGCGGTCTAAGTGCCTGCCTGGCAAGTACAAAGACCTGGCTTCGATCCCCGGAACCACCATGCCACCCACTGACGCCAGGCATGGCGGCACACATGCCTGTAATCCCAGCACTTGAGAGGCTTGAGATGGGAGGGTCACGAGTCCAAGTTGCATAGTGGGACCCTGTACCAAATAAATCAAAAAACCAAAAAGTGTTTGTGAACTAAGGTACTGTTAAAAATATATTTACTTATATGTTTAAAAGTACAACATGTGAGACTTGTGTTCCAGGGCTGTTTGATGTTAGCTGTATATCATAGCCAGTCACACTTGCAGAGGACATGATGGCTGATGTTTCGGGTCTGTGCCACATATGGCAGGCACTGTTTGAAGCCACCCCACCTTTACTTTCCAACATTGCTGCCCTTGTGGGGTGATGAAGAGGAGGATGACCTCATAATAAACCTTTAATTGTGAAGTGTGTATCTGCACTAGAAAATCATATGTGACATCCTACTTATATAGATGTGTATGTGTGTAGATGTACATGGAGAATGCTTGACTGTTCTATACATACACATCTAGAGAAGAGAATAACAAGCATACAGAACCTTTGACTTAGCCTGTAGCTACCCAGTTTCAGTTCCTGCTTGCCTTTCTCACACCCTGTTTTGTGTTTCATCTCCTAATAAGCACAGCTGCTCGCTTGCAGAGTTCTGGTGAGGGTGACACAGAATGTTATAGAAAGCATTTGGATCGGAGAAAATTATCACACAAGCCAGTTGCATTAGTCAGGGTTTTACTAGAAAGACAGATATAACACAAGATATACAAATATATGAGAAATCATAAGATTGGCTTACAGTGGTCAGTCCTAGAGTTGGATGAGGAAGTGTGCAGTGAGTGTCTGCACGCTGCAGCTCAAGGGTTCAGTGCAGGGGCTGGAACTCACTGCAGTGCTCTGTGCAAGTCTGTAACAGGCAGTAGGTCTGCAGCAGAAGGCTGAAGAGCCTATGCTGTCCTGGCCTGCTCTAGAAGCCAGAGATGACATCCAAGCTGAATGTGAAGACTGGAGCTCCTCTGAAGAGCAGAATCCAGTCCACCTGTCTTCATTTTCCTTTTATATCTTCCAGGTGAAGATATAAAACTGCCCTAGGTGGGTCCACTACACCCTAAGGTGCAGACAGCCATCCTAGGGCAGGTAGAGAATGTAGAATTGCTGAGCCAACTTAGTTAGCGGACACATCTTAAGTTGACACAATTAATCAACCATGATGCCAGTGTTCTTTCACGGACTTGTCTTTTCCTTTGTCCATGGCTAAGTCTGTCTCTGTAGTGAGTCCTACTTCACAGACCAAGTGTCTGGTATTCTTTCTAACCTCTGCATGAGATTCCATTTAAGGATAATGTCCCTGTGTTGGGAGAAAGAGAAGAGACTGTAAGTGAATGGAGGCGTAGGAACAGGAGATTGAGGAGCCATCCAGTGGTATTTTATTTCTTAAGCAGAGTGCTGAATATATGGGTATTCTTTTAATCTAAACATTTAAATATATTTGGCTTGAAATACAACTTCAAGCAAACAGAAACCTCACATACCATTGAGTGATTTCCCTTTGAAATGAACGGTTTTTTTCCATGTTCATACAAGAATATGGAACACAGCGCTCCTCTGACACTTCCTTCCAGAAACTGCAAAGAGCCAGGTGCAGTGGCATGTGCCTGTAATCCCAGGATTCGGGAGGCTGAGTCATGAGAATAGCCGTGAGTTGAGGGCTGGCCTGTGCTACATGTTGAGTTCAGAGCCAGCCTGAACTACATCGTGAAGCCCTGTCTCAAAACACCAGGATAAAAAAAAAGCCAAAAAGAGTTAAGTGAGATAATTTTTCTCAGCAGTGAGTGGAGCTTTGTCACCCAGACAGAAGGTGGCAGGGGTTACAGCAGCAGATGGGGGAGAAGCAACATGTGCATCCTGTCTGTCAGCTAACGTTGCCTTTGCTTGATGTTTTTCTGAGCTGCTTCTGCATGCACTTGGGCATTAACCAGAACTGTGGTATATTTTTTAACATCTCAGCCAGAAACCCTGCTCGCCACCCCAGGCGTCATGTGTGCTTAATGTGCTGATGATCAGAAAGCTGCTGATCACTGAACTCTTGTCACACTTCCTTTCTGCGTTTCCTTGTTTCATGAGTGCCTGTTGCTCCCAAATGTCCAAAGGGAATGCTGCTTAATTTTTGAAAAGGAGTTCAGAGTCCGAATCAGTATTCACTGAGCCCTGGCTTTGTAAGTCTAGCCCTGGAAAATCTGCAGTGGTGTGTATAGGAATTTTTTCTCTCGTGTTTTGGTTTCAGGGAAAGATGTATACATACGCAGATGGGATAGGACGTGGAAGATACTTCAGTAGACATTCAGAAGGTTATGGGCAGGGAATAGTCATATCTAAGGAGAGGCTTTGTAAAGAAGGAAGTGAGGTTTGCTTTAAGTCTTCAAGGGTATGACTTCAGTAGATGCTTATTTGTTCATTTATTTATTGAGTAAATACTGTACATATCCTTTGAGCTTCCACACATATCCATTTTCTGTGTATACCCCAACAGAGGATGGGGATAGAGAGTTGGACACTAAAATCTGAACTGCTTGCACATGGAAGTGCCTCTGCTTACACTGTTAATTCAAGCAATTTTCCACCCCTTACTTCACGAGTGTAGGGAAGTTCAGTACTGCTTTCCATAACCTTGAGAGATTTGGGAACCTGGGTATCTACAATGAATGGTAATGACTGTCAGGAATTCAAAGATGTGTTGCACTAGCAGATCATGCTGATTCTGTGTCCTACTGGAGCAAGTTCACTGAGAGGTGAGGCCAGGCTGTGCTACACAGTGAGACCCTATCTCAAAAACAATAATAACAGCAATAACTTTAAAAGAGGCCAGATAAATAGCTCAGAGGATTAAAGTGCCTGCAAGCAGGGGTAGGGGGTTCGATCCCCAGGCCTGCTGTCCCGGCCCCGCCCCTGGGGCCCACTGAGTGGGCAGGTGAGACTGGGCATGGTGGCACATGCTTGTAATCCCAGCTCTTAGTAGGCTGTAAACAGGCAGATCACTACAAGTCTGATCTAGTAGTGAAACCCTGAACACCCTGTAGACCCTTCTCTAAAATACAAACAAAGGAAAAAAAAAAGAGGCCAGATGCAAGAGATGATGTTGGGTATAGTTGTTAACATGGGAGTGTAAGAAGTTGTCAAATTAAAGATGTGTTTTAAAAGCAGAGGAAGAGGATATGCCAGTGGGTTATATCTAGGTTATGAGAAACAAAATTAAGTATGACAACTTCTAAGAATGCTATTTGCCTCTGGCTGAAAGACAAGGCAATTGGGATAAAATGTTGGTTGTGAAGATCAGTGTGTTTTAGATGTATGAAGGCTAAACATGGAGATACTGCATAGGCAGTTGGATATACAAGCCTGTATTTTAGGAGTCTGGACTAGGAATATCAATTTGTGAGTTTTTAACTAATACAGACTATTTAAAGCCTTTAACCAGGCAGTGAAGCACCCCTGAAATCCCAGCACTTGTGAGGCTGAGGCAAAGAGATTGCCCCTCGATCAAGCCCATCCTGGTAGCATAGCTCTGCTGAGCATTTTCTATGTACTTTACATCAATTCCTCACTGTTATATTTCTGTAAGGTAGGTATTAGTCTCATGTTACGGATCTGAAAGCAGGAGCTCAGGGAGGAGAAAGTTTTCCATAAATAAAAGACTAATGCTTCTTATATGCCAGCTAGGGTAGTAATCATAGAATTTAAGCGGACACAGTAGCAAGCTCATTGGTGGTGAAGCCAGGCACCAAACACAGATCTATCTGGTGTAGGCCAGCATGTTTTATACCAAGAGGTAGTGTGTAAAAAGTGTTTTGGGAGTGCTGTTCCTCAGACCTAGAGCTTAAACAACATGGGGGGGGGGATCATGGGGTGGTGCCTACTATACTCGCAGCACTCGGGAGGCTGAGGCAGGAAGATTACCACAAATTCAAGGCCAACATGGGCTAATAGTCAATTTAAGGCCAGCTTGAGTTACGGAGCAAGACTGTCTGAAAACAAAACATCAAAATTAGTTACAAAGAAAGAAACATCCTAGAATACGTAGTTTTGGGGGTTTTGTTTTGGTTTTTCCCCCATTCCAAGACTGATTTTAAGGAAAAATTTTTTGAGTTTCTCAATTGCTTGAAAGTGTGATGAGAATTTGACTCTTTTATATATGGGGAGTTAGTAGAATAGCTAGATGTAAATGAGCTGAATGCTATAAAAGAGAAAGAAGCCTTTAAGAAAATGAGAACAGTCAAGTCTGGTGGTGTATGCCTAGTCCAGTCCTCAGGAAGCTCAAGCAGGACAATCCACGAGTTCAAGACCAGCCCACGGCAGGGATGAAGACGAGAATGAAGGAGACCGGCCCATTTGTTATTCACCATCTCCTGGTTATGTTCAGTAAATAACTGATGTGGTTTCTCTCTCCTTTTGAATGTTTCTAGAGATTCAGTTGTTCAAAATAGCCCTTTCCTTAGCAGATAATAGCTCATATTCCTTTTCTTCTTTTTTAGACCACGTACAAAATGAAGAAAACTATGCACAAGTTCTTGATAAGTTTGGGAGTAATTTTTTAAGTCGAGACAACCCAGACCTTGGCACTGCTTTTGTGAAGTTTTCTACTCTTACAAAAGAACTCTCTACACTGCTGAAAAATCTGGTAAGCTATTTCATAATTAACGGAAAGACTGCAGCCTAACCAAAGCATAAGAGCATACCAGGGACAACTGAAAATTATGGTGACTGTTTAAATGTTTAAAACTTATTACAGCAAAAGATACATTGCCAGAATGGCATGAATGTTTAGAGAGGAAGGATTTTGAGGGGGTTAGTGGCAGTTGGTCTTCTACTATAGTGATTTTATTTAGATATTTGCTGTGTATTTTGATCTCACCTCACTGGTCCAATGTTGACGGCAGTTTCTGGTGCCATGCAACTTCAAGCTCCACTACAAAGCGATAATGCCACAAAAGGTATCCTATCTACAATACAGGTTTCAAGAGCTATGAACTGTAGGTGATGAGAGGAATAGGGCTTTTGGGTTCAGTCATACGTGGCATTCCAGATCTCTGCTTATTAGCTTGACAGTCTTAGGCAGACCACTTTATTGCGTTAATGCTCATTTCCTCGTCTGTGAAAAGAACTAATACTGTGTAATTCTTGGTAATGACAAGACTTCACTGAGATCACAAAAATAAATAACTAAGCACTGTATCTGACGCATGGAATTTGCTTAACAAACAAAAGCTTACATTATTTACATATTCTCTCATTTGATCTTTAGGGTGTAAAGGCAGGTATCATAGCTATATCCCATTTTACAGATAAATGCAGCAAATTTCCAAAAAAAATACTATATCTGGGAAGAGATAGAATTAGGGCTTGAGCTCAGAATTGCCAACTGTAGGCTACATGCTGTTTCAGCAAAGCTGCCCCACAAGTTACAAAATACAGACACTGACTTAGTGGCCCACCTGACCTAATGACTGAGAGCTGTATTAAAACTGCTGCTTGTTCAGTTTGCTAACTTTTTTTGGTCTGTTTTTCTCTTTTGCTTTCCTTCATCAAAAGTACTGCACACTAAAAAGAGTAAAAGTATGAGGAAGTATTTCTCAGACTTCTGGTTCTTAGAGCCCCAGTCTAAAAAACGAGCTTCTGTTTATGTGGACTATTTCTGTACATATTTTACTTCCATAGAAGTGAGAACCAAGGACTTTTTAATATATTTGCTGAAATAACTCACTTACTTTAATACCGTGAATAGCCAATATGTTAAGGAAATAACTTCTCCCATCTACCCCCTCAATTAGAAGGTGGCATTGTTTTACATATTGGCAAATATCTTCACAGGTGGTTTGGTAAAGGTAGCTGAATTCTCATACATGCTTCTGTTACCGTGAGTGACAGGATCCCAGAACAGGTTTCCAGGTTCCTATGCATGGGGAACAAAGAGCTGGACGTGGCATAACAGGAGAAAGCAGCTAGGTGTAATAAAGTTTAACATTCATGACAGGACTGTGATCCATGTCCCAGTGCCCAGTGGCTCTGATTTGAACCTCATCACTTGATGTCAAAGCCAATCACCTGTGCTTGAAGCCGTCCCAATGGGACAGTCATACTTGTGCCCCAAGTGGTTCAAGCTGGCTGGAACATGTTAAAAAGTGAACGTATACTCAAAGTAAGTGAGCTCATGCTAGTCAAAAGGAAAGCAGCATATAATCTGATTGAGTTAGGTTTAGGAATTTAAAATGTGCAGTTGACCCAGGGCACCTCCCATTGGTTCTTTTGGAGCATGATGGACAGTATGCTGAGTCATGTTAGCTATGTCTACTGGACATGCCCTTTCCTATAATTCACTCTGTGATAATTGGACGTATGAGATGATATATATGCCTTTAATGAACTCCAGGTAAAGAAAGATCTTTATGGGTCATGTCAGTAGGTCTAACACACCTGCATCTTAGCTTGGGATTTCAGAATTTTCCAGAGTCTTTGTTATTCTTATATCTTACTTCAAGGTAATGGCCTTTAGGACGCAAATCAGGGAGATTGGCCCTGTGTTGTTCCCCAGGCTCAGGGAGTGCAGAGGAGTGGTCCATGCCCCAGTCACACTGCCTGTGCTGCTTCTATATTCACTTTGTTGCAGTTGGTGTTTTGGGTAGTTAGATGGAAAACAAAGCCACCTGTGCTTTATATTAAGAAGAAACAAGAGTGAATTGTGTATTTTCATCTTTGATGCTACATCAAAATTTGACAAGTGATAGTTTACTAAAAGACATCCATGTAAATAACTGAGAATATATGAGCTTCAACTATGAAAACTGTCAAGCTCATGGTGGCATATGTTTCCAGAATTTTAACTTTCTCTGAAAGTCTACATTTCATCATTAGCAATAAATATTGATAGTTGTTTACCTTGAACTGACAAGACTACCTCATAGATTTGGAAAAAAACTGGCATATACTGAAGGGAAAAGAAGATGTTTATGTTCAGCTTTTTATTACTACATGCAACCAAATTTGAAGTTTTAGTCTGTGATGCTGTAATGGTTGATACATTGTGTCAACTTCAGAATTGAGAAGTTTAGAAGCTTAACGAAGTGACTCAGCAGAGGGCCACCATCCTCCCTTTGTAAACAGGTTGAGCTTGTGGAATAGGAGGGCCCAGAGATGGCGTGGGCGGATAGCCAGCACACAATATAAGGGAGGAAAAGAGGCTCGCTCTCCTCTTTTGCTCTTGCTGCTTTTGCTGTCTTCTGCCACCTCAAACTGTTGCCCCTGTGCCCTGCTACCCTGCTTGGAGCCAACTGGTTATGGACTGAAACCTCTACAAACTGTGGACTGAATCAACCTTTTCTTCCTTAATTTGAAGTGTTGGGTATTTTGTCTCAGCAACAGGAAAAAGTAACACAGATGGCTTGATCCCATTGTTTTGGGCAAGTAGGTCATAGCAGAAGTAGGTGCCAAGCCAAGACTGTTCATGTCATGGCCAGAAGCAAGGGAAAAAGCAAGGAGGAGCCCCATGATTCCCTACAAGAGCACACCCTCCAGGTTCCATTCAAGCCCTATAATCAGTTAAAGCAGTAGTGGTGAACCTACAGCAGACATGCTGTAGCAGGTGCACACAGCTTCCCTAGCAGCACACATGCCGGGTTGCCTCAGCATCGCCCCAGCAGCTGACCGTAAGTGGGTTTGTGGTTGCAGTTGGGGCACTCCGTCTCTAAAGGTTTGCCATCACTGGTTCTGTAGTCTTGTTTGATAGGTATAAGATCATTGTGTGTTGGAGAAAGCCTAAGGTACAAGTGAAAGGTAGCCTGTTTACAGGTGAAAGAACAGTTCATGAACAAAAAGAATGGCTGAACACATTTACAGGAGAAAAGGAGTGAGGGGGCTTACTGTGTTTCAGGGAGAGAAAAAGAAAAAAAATAGTTTTAATTGGGCTTGTATGCTGAATCTGCAATTTTCTTTTTTCTTTCTTTTAATTTTAGGGAGGGGTCTATAGTGTGTTCAGAGTCTTACCACTAGATCAGAATCAGTGATCCGCCTGTTTATAGCCTCTCAAGAGCTGGGATTACAGTGCGTGCCACCACACCCAGTCTCAGTTGCCCTCTCAGTGCACCCAGGGGGCGAGGCCAGCACAGCAGGCCTGGGGATCATACCCTGGCCCCTGTGCCTGCTTGCAGGTGCTTTAATCCACTGAGCTATTTGGCTGATCCTGCAATTTTCATTTTTAATTATTTTTATTTTCCTTGTCTGCTTTTTACCTTTCTGTATTTCTTCTGTACTATCTCAGTTCTACCACTACTCAGTAGCACCACTTGGGGAACTAAGCCCTTAAAGCATAGGCCATTGGCCAGGTTGTGGTGGTGAGCCTGGGTCCATAGTGACTTCAAGACCAGACTGAGCTACATAGTGAGACCCACATCTCAGAAACAAACAAAATAGATCTTTGAGAAACATGCAAGGACCAAACTATAATATTCCACTCCCCCTAGCCCCAAAACTCATGTCAGTTATAATGTGAAAAGCATTCGGTCTAGCTCAAGAATCTCAGGCTTTTAGCTTTTAGAGCGTTATTCAAAAGTCCAAGTCCAAAGTCTCCTCTGAGACTGTGAAAACAAAAAAAGAAGTTACATACTTTTAAGGTACAGTGTTGGTAGTGGTTGTGGCATGGTGCTGCGTATCTGTAATCCCAGCTACAAGGGAGACTGAGACAGGAGAATTGCAAGTTGAGGCCAGCCTAGCAAGTTCATGAGAGCATACTAGTGAGTATATTTCAGAATATAAAGATACGCTTAAAAAGGGTTGGGAATGTAGCTCAGGGATAGTTCTCTTGCCTAACATGCATGAAACCCTTGGTTCTGTTCCCAGCATTGCGTGTGTGGATGTCATTTTGGGACAATCATAACATAAACATTTCTATTCTGAAAGGAAAGAATAAGAAAATAAAAAGACAAAATGAAAACTCATCAGGGCACACATTAGATCCTAATGCTGTGTGTCAGGGAACCAAGGCGCACTGTGAAAGAATGTGAACTAACACTTTGAAAGCCCCGTTCCAGAGTGGCGATGGCAGTCACGTGGGCATTCTGCTAGGCTGGTTTTGTGTGATACATGCGGCTTTCCTGGACACATGTGGCGAGTTGAGCACCTCTCCCCTTGTTGGGACTGCCCGTGTGGTTCTGCTTGCTCCTACAGTCCCCGTGTGCTTCGCCCCGTCAGCTGTGCATTCAGGGACTTCAGACTTCCTAGGTTTTTCTCTAAAGTCTCAGGGAGGTCATCACGTCATGCCTTTTGCCTTCCGTGTGCCTGAGACCCATCGTGTGAACAATACTAGGTCTATGTGAGGCCTGGCGACTGCAGCTTCTCAGGCTTAGGGGTTGAACACTGGGAATTAAAGTCCAGAGAAATGATTCCTTAGGCAGTCTTGCCCAAGGGGCTTTTCATAAATAAAAATCTTTGAAATAAATTTCTGTTCCTTTGAGCCTGTGACAAGTGGGTTGACTACAGGTTGTTGAGATATGCTGAGGAACTAAGCTTTTTGTAGACATTTATGTATGAAGACTGGGTTGGGTTGCTTTAATTGAGTTTTTTGAGACAAAGTCTCACCATGTAGTAATCCTTAAATTCATTGTGTACCCCCAGCCCCTCGAGTGCTGG